CCCTGTGATTAAAGTCAATGGAAAACTACAGCAACCTAATTCTGACGTGACTACTAATGACCCAGACCCTTCAGGAATGAAGGTTTGGGTCACCCCACCAGGCAAAGAACCACGACCTGCTGAGGTGCTTGCTGAGGGCAAAGGGAATACAGAATGGGTGGTGGAAGAAGGTAGTTCTAAATACCAGTTATGGCCACGTGACCAGTTCCAGAAAGGGGGACTGTAATTGTTATGAGTATTTCTACTTTGTATGTGTGCCTCAAATATTTTTGTTTCCTTCACTTATAAAATATATGCTGTAAATGGTGCTAGTGCATTTTCGATTGTACGCGTGTTACTTGTATCATGTTAGGTGCAAGTATGACTTTCTAACTGTCTTTATTCAGTGATTATGTATGGTTGAAGGATCAGTGTACATGTGCCAAGTTGACAAGAGGTGGACTGTGATGGTTAAGATTGTGTGACAGCTTGGCTGGGCCATGATTCTCAGTGTTTTAATGTAATCACTCCCATGATTGAATATATTGTGAGTAGCCAGTCAGATGAAAGGGAGTCTCCTTGGGGTGTGGCCCGCATCTGAATATAAGCAGACATTCTGGCATTTTGCTCTCTCTGGATACTGCAGCTGCTTCCTGTTGTCTCATCTCCCATTCTTGGGACTTGAGCTGTAAGCTTATCTGCTGAACCTGGGATTCGTCAATCTGCACAGCCTGTGAGTGGGAGCCCTGCTATCTGACCTGCTGATCTTGGGCTTCCCAGCTTCTGCGGCTGTGTGACTTGGGAGAGGCCTCTACCCTGATCCATGGACTTGGGACGTTCTAGCCTCTACAATCGTGTGAGCTGTTTCCTTACTATAATCTCTCTCTACATATGTATTTATACACTTTACTGCTTTTGCTTCTCTAGAGAACCCAGCCTAAGACAATCACTAAGTAGAAAAACCTGTCAACTGAATGGCTATGCATTTGAAGCATAAAACAGTGTAAAAGAAATAAAATACATGCTATTTTTAAGGAACAAAATTCTTATTCATCTTACCTTCCAGCCAGTTACACTGAAAGTCTTTCCAGCACTTCCTATTGTTATTGTTCTTTCCCACATACCTGGAAAAGTGGCTGAACAAGAAAACAAAACAAAAAAACCAAAAACCGTTAAATAATTGCTCTCCAATCAATGTACATTCAGTATAATCTAAAAACATGGGAAAAAACACATGAATTCAATGAAAAGAAATATAGTAACGTGTAATTAGTATAGTTATTTCAATAGCTTTTTACAATAATGTAACTTTAGCCCAAAACACAGCTGAAAATGTTACAATGCTTTAAGACACTGCAACATTGCAAAAAATAGTATTTAAAATTAATAATTTAAGTAGAAAAATTATTTTCGGGGGAGGAGTGACTGTAGTATCAGTAGGTAGTGTCTGGGGCTAGTTCAACTAGAAGCACTGACGCAGCATGGCATCCAGTGTTCAGTGTTAGCAGCATTTCATCTTCAGTGAAATACTTCTATGGCATGGTTTTGGTTGTGGTCCTGGCTATTGTTTAGCCCACCTTTACTCTGCCCATTTTCTGAGTAAATTTCTATAGGCTTCCTAAAGCAGTGGTTCTTAAAATGTGGTCCACAGAACAGCAACTTCAGCACCACCTGGGAACTTGTTAGAAAGGAAAATTCTTGGACCCTACCCTAAGCCAAACCAAACCAAGCCAAACCCCTTGCTATCGAGTTGATTACGACTCATAGCGACCCTATAGGACAGAGTAGAACTGCCCCACAGGGTTTCCAAGGAGCAGCTGGTGGATTCCAACTGCCAACCTTTTGGTTAGCAGCTGAGCTCTTAACCACTGTGCTACCAGGGCTCTGATCCCACCCTAGACCTACTGAATCAGAATCTCTGGGGGTAGAGTACAGCAATCTGAATTTTTTTGGGTAACAGTTTAATTGAGATACCTCATACCGTACAATTAACCCATTTAAACTGTATGATCAATAGTTTTTAGTATATTCATGAAGTCGTCAACCACCAAAATCAATTTTAGAACATTTTCATCACCCTAAAAAGAAGTCCTGTATCCTTTAGCTGTCACCTCTGATCCTCCTATCTCCTCTGCACCCCACCCTCCTTGCCCTAGGCAACCATTAACCTACTTTGTTTCTATAGATTTACCTATTCTGGACATTTCATATAAAACCAAAAACTAAACCCATTGCTGTCGACTTGATTCTGATTCTTAGCGACCCTGTAGGACAGAACAGAACTGCCCTATAAGGTTTCCAAGGCTGTAAATCTTTATGGAAGCAGACTGCTACATCTTTCTCCCTTGGAGCAGCCGGTGGGTTTGAACTGCCAACCTTTTGGATAGCAGCAAAGTGCTTAACCACTGCACCACCAGGGCTCCTTGATATTTCATATAAATGAAATCATATAATATGTGGTCTTTTGTAAGTGGTTTCTTTCATTTAGCATAATGTTTTCAAGGTTCATCTTTATTGTGCCATGTATCAGTGCTTCATTTCTTCTTAAGGATATAAAATATATCCACCATATAGATACACTACTTTTTATTTATCCATTCATCAGTTCATGGACCTTTGGGTTGTTTGCACCTTTGGCTATTATGAATAATGCTGCCATGGAAATTATGTACAAGTTTTTATGTGGACATATTTTCATTTCTCTTGGGTATATACCTAGGATTGGAATTGCTGGGTCATATGGTAATTTTGTTTAACTTTTTGAGGAACTACCAGAGTGTTTTCCAAAGTGGTTGCACCCTTTTTTACATTCAGCAACCTGTGTTTTAAGAAGCTTTTCAGGTGATTCTGATGCATACTGTTTGAGAACCTAGAGATCCCAGAGATTCTGTAAACTACTTAAATTTTTTTTCATAAATTATTTTCTGCTTATATTATCCAGACGTGTTTTTTGTTGTTTGTGACTAAAACACAATCTGATCCAGAATTTGGCACCAGGGTGGGGGTGCTGTAAGTAACAGACATTAAAATGTGGAACTGGATAAGTGAGTAGATAAGGCAGAGGGTACTGGAGTTGCCACTATTCCTGGTTGAGAAATTAGAGACCTTTATTATGAGGCTGGAAAATAGTTGGTTAAAATGTTGCCTTGTGTATAATAAAGTTTATTAAGAAAATGTTCTGCATCCTACTTTGGAGGGTGGTGTCTGGGTCTTAAAAGCTAGCGAGAGGCCATTTAAGATGCATCAATTGGTCCCAACCCACGCGGAGTAAAGGAGAATGAAGACCACCAAAGTCACAAGGAAAACATTAGCCCAAGGGACAAAAAGGGCCATATAAACCAGAGACTGCAACAGCCTGAGACCAGAAATACTAGATGGTGCCCAACTACCACCAATGACCGCCCTGACAGGGAACACAAGAGAGTCCCTGATGGAGCAGGAGAAAGGTGGGGTGCAGAACTCAAATTCTAGTGAAAAGACCAGACTTAATGGTCTGACTGAGACTGGAGAAACCCCAGAGAGCATGGCCCCAGACTCTCTGTCAACCCAGCACTAAAACCATTCCTGAGGCCAACTCTTCAGTCAAAGATTAGACTGGACTATGGGACATGAAAGGATACTTGTCAAGAGTGTGCTTCTTAGCTCAAGTGGATACATGAGACTAAATGGGCAGCTCCTGCCTGGAGCTGAGATGAGAAGGCAGAGAGGGCCCGGAGCTGGTTGAATTGACACGGGATATCAGGGGTAGAAAGAAGGAATGTGCTGTCACAGTATAGAGAGAGCAATTAGGGTTATATAACAATATATGTATAAATTTTTGTATGAGAGACTAACTTGAATTGTAAACTTTCACTTAAACTACAATAAAATAAAATAAAAATGTTGCTTAGTGTACCTGGTGATGCACTGTTTCTGAGACTACATTATTAGGGCAAATAGAGGGAAAACTAAGAATGTTGCCTTATATTAGCTACCTTTTATGCAGCCTTTAGCAAGGTCCTATATGAGAGAGAGATTTAGATTGAAGGTAGCTCATCAGAAAACAGAGAGTAACAGCATAGGAAAGGCAGGAAGATAGGGAATTAAGATTAGGGCAAACAAACTAGCCCCTCACTCTGGCATTTCCAATAACTTCCTGCCTGACAAAGGGGGGGCAGTTTTGTTTACCATGGAAATGGAATGGGATGAAGTTTGATGCAAAACATGCCCATCCCTAAAATGATCATCAGGCCACTGGTGCCCAGGCCCCAACCAGAACCAACAGAATGTGGGCTGCTAAAGCTGTTCTGTAACAGTAAAGGAATTCTAACACCCTTCCCCCATGCTCTCTTCAGAGCCAGATGGACTAATTAAAGAATTCACTCTATTCCCATGCCAGGGAGTCCCTAATATTCCCCAGCAGGGTGTGTGATATGTTTTAGAAACCACTGCCAGGATGTTGGGTTTCCCATTCTCTCCTTTATCTGATGAGGTTTTTAAACTTTCATTTTCTGTTCCTCTTCATTTTTCATTGAACGTGCTAAAGGGAGATAAATTATCTTTTAGTTCTTGGTCTCCAGACCATGAGGAGCTGGCAGGTCAGTGCATTACCTAGAGATCCTAGACAAACATTCACTCATCTCTTAACAGCCATATGCTCAGGGAAGCTGACCCAATCCCCAGCTCCAGGGATGATCAAATGGTACATGGGTAATCCCCATCTCTTGTGCCAGTGATTGCTCTAGGAGTGGGGCTATTACTCCACTCTGACCAACAGATGTTAGGGGATGATTTCTGGGGAACTTTTGGGAAAAGTCTCTTTACTCTCAAGAGAGAGGCTCAACCCTGAGGCCCTCATGTAAAGTTGAGATGATAGATCTCATTATCGTTTAAGCCTGTTTGAATTAAAAGTTCCTGTTACAGTCAAATGCATCCTATTGATTCAGATATATAAAAGTTTTCAGTGCATTAATATCTTTAATAAAGTCATTCATTCATTCACTCATTCACCCATCAAACATTTATTAGCAACTACCAGGTACCAGGGACTATGCTAGGTCCAGAGGAAACAGACGAGTAAGGCACAGTTCTGATCTCCAAGCATCTTAGTGTCTAGTTTAAGACAAGTAAAACAATTGTAATACAGTGTAATACGTGCTATAATAGCAGTAGGCATGGAATGTTATGGAAGGATAGAAGACAGTGTTAGGGGTAGCTTTCTGCATCCAGTAATGCTGGAGCTGAGATGTGGAAGGCCTTAGCCAGGCAGAGAAGGAGATGAAAAGTATTTTGGGCAAAGAGAATAAAGATACAAAAGCATAGAAGTATAAATGCAAGAGTCTGTGAATTTTGCTGGACACTGGTAAATTTTTCCTGTCAATCTTCTGAGGCTGCTACCTATGACACTGTTTTTTGGATTCTTCAAGTAATTTAGTTGCGGAGTTCTTCACATGCACTCCTGCAAAATTTTCACTTGTTTTTTAGAGGTACAATGGATTCTGTTATATTGCTCTAAGAGTACTGGTCCACACAAGCGATAAGAAGCATCCATTTCTGGGTGTCTAAGCTACTTCTAGGAGCCATGGTGGCACAGTGGTTAAAGTGTTTGACTGGTAACCAAAAGGTTGCTGGTTTGAACCCACCAGCCGCTCCACGGGAGAAAGACGTGGCAGTCTGCTTCCGTAAAGATCTACAATCTTAGAAACCCTGCGCGGCAGTTCTACTCTGTCCTATAGGGTTGTTACGAGTTGGAATCAACCCGATGGCAACGGGTTTGGTTTCTTTTGTAAGATATTGCTTTCTCAAAGTAGTCTGCTCATAAGCAAGTAAAGTGCCCGAGAAAATGTAAGGTAGCTATAGAAATTTCTAAAACAGATGCATAAGCAATTTCAGTCTGTCCAGAAATACTTGCAATATTTGTAATGGTGTGAAAACTTTATAAATCAGAAAAGTTGTAACTACATAGAACACAACAAAAATCAAAAAGATGAAGAAAATACTTCCAGGGCCCACTTGAATAAGAAATATTTTAACATTTGATAAAAGTAATTACATCCTTTCAATTTTTGAGACATTTCTGGTTCCAAAGGACTCCAAAGAACACCACAATACATGTCCCATTTTTTATCTGATCGGAGAAAGTCTAAATTACGTATAATGCAGAGTATCACTTCCTTTAGATTAATAGTATATTTCTAAAATCAGGAAGGCCTATTAGTAGGAAAAATACCTGGAAATAGATCCTTAGGCAGGAAGATGCCTGGTGTGGTTGAAGAAGTGCAAGGAAGCCAGTGTACTAGTGCACAGTAAGCAAAGGGAGAGGATGAGGAGATGAAGTGGGGGCCAGGACACATGGGAGTTTTTAGGCCCTTGTAAGAACTTAGGCTTTTATTCTATGCAAATGTAGGATTTTAAACAAAGTCCAGGAACTAGTAAACTCCCTGCATCTTACGTACCAAGTAATACCTGGATTCTTGCTAAGAACCCAAGGATACAGGCAAAAGTACTACTTCTCTGGTTTCAGTACTTAATAGTGTGATCCAAAAACTCTTCCTCTAAGTTTTTACTGTTTATCCTTCAACTTGTTCATTAATTCACTCGAGCACCAGTCATTCATTTTTAAGTGCCCATAACAGAGACCATTACAGAGACTATTTTAAAGCTGGTCTGAGATACTTTCCCAGCAGTTTCACATGTGCACAGACACATTTAGATTTGCAACTATGTAATTATCAGTACCTATTTTAAAATGTTTATTTCCCGTATATACAAGCCATTCATAAACCTCATCACTGATACAGAGTGTATCATATTTGATGCAAAGGTCAGCAATTACTTGGAGTTCCTCTTTAGTATACACCTGCACATTGTTAAAGGGAAAAAATAAGAGTCAGTTATTATTCAACATATGAAAAAACAATAAATCAGAAGTCTGCATAAAGAGATAAAAGACTTACCTTGCCCATGGGGTTATGTGGAGTATTGACTATAATAGCTTTGGTTTTGGAACTAAATTTACTTGCCAGTTCTTGAGGATCTAATGTCCAGTCAGAACTAGACCACTTTTTTCCATCAACAGGTTTCTAAGCATGAAGAATGAAGATGTGGTTGAATTCAGTTAATGAATGTTTATTATCTTAAAAATAATCTGATAAGAAAAAAAATTAGACAAAGACATAGCAAAGGTAACTGAATAAATGACTAACATAAAATAACGAGCAACAAATAGGCTCCAGAATGCACTTGGCTGCAAACCGAAACATTGGTGGTTCAAGTCCACCTAGAGGCACTTCGGAAAAAAGTCCTGACAATCTATTTCTGAAAAATCAGCTATTGAAAACCCTATGGAGCACAATTCTACTCATCAGGTTGCCACGAGTCCAAACTGACCCAACAGCAACTGGTTAGTTCTGCCTTAAGTGCCTGCCGAAGACCTGAGTCTTCCACTCACATTTGGTCAATAGAAAATTAAACCCTGTTAATATTAACAGCCGTTAAAGTGACTATATTCCTTCAAAGGAGTGAACTGTAACTATAGTTGAGGGCAGTGGTGATTCAGTGGTAGAATTCTCACCTTCCATACTGGAGTCCCATTGTTGTCAAGTTGATTCCAATTCATAGCGACCCTGTAGGATAGAGTAGAACTGCCCCATAGGGTTCCACTGTAATCTTTATGGAAGCAGATTGCCAGGTCTTTTCTTCCTAGGAGCTGATGTGTGGGTTTTGAACCAACAACCTTAAGGTTAGCATTCAAGCGCTTAACTGTTGCACCACCAGTGCTCCTCTACGCTGGAGAGTTGGGTTCAATTGCCAGCCAATGCACCTCAAGCACAGCCATCTCCTATCTTGGGTATTACTATGATGCTGAACAGGTTTCAGTGGTGCTTCCAGGCTAAGACAGACTAGAAGACAGGTCTGGCAATATGTTGTTAGGTACCGTCGAGTCAGTTCCAACCTATAGTCACCCTATGTCTAATAGACCGAAATGCTGCCCAGTCCTGTGCCATAATCACAATCGTTGCTATGTTTGAGCCCATTGTTGCAGCCACTGTATCATTCCATCTGGTTCAGGGTCTTCCTCTCTTTTGATGACCCTCTACTTTACCAAGCATGATGTCCTTCTCCAGGGAATCATCCCTCCTGACAACATGTCAAAGTAAGCAAGACAAAGTCTTGCCATCCTCGCTTCTAAAAAACATTCTGGCTATACTTCTTCTAAGACAGATTTGTTTGTTCTTCTGGGAGTGTGTGGTCTATTCAATATTCTTTGCCAACACCATAATTCAAATGCATCAATTCTTCTTTTGTCTTCCTTATTGATTGTCCAGCTTTTGCATGCTTATGAGGCAACTGGGACAGGTGCAGCTTAGTCCTCAAAGTGACATCCTTGCTTTTTAACACTTTAAAGAGGTCTTTTGCAACAGATTTACCCAGTGTAATACATCACTTGATTTCTTGTCTGCTGCTTTCATGGGAGTTAATTATGGATCCAAGTAAAATGAAATCCTTCACAGCTTCAATACTTTCTCTGTTTATCATGATGTTGTTTATTGGTCCAGTTGTGTAGATTTTTGTTCTCTTTATGTTGATGTGTAATTCACACTGAAGGTTGTAGTCTTTGATTTTCATGACTAAGTGCTTCAAGTCCTCTTCACTTTCAGCAAGGAAGGCTGTGTCATCTGCATATCGCAAGTTGTTAATAAGTCTTCCTCCAATCCTAATACTGATAGCTTTTTCATATTGTCTAGCTTCTTGGATTATTTGCTCAGTGTACAGACTGAATAAGTAACCCATGTAGTATCCCCTTGTTCTGTGTGAATGACTGCCTCTTAGTCTATGTACAGGTTCTGAATGAGCACAATTAAATGTAGTGGAATTTCCATTCTTCACAATGTTATCCATAATTTATTATGATCCACACAGTTGAATGCCTTTGCAAAGTAAATAAAACAGGTAAACAGCTTCCTGGTATTCTCTGCTTTCAGCCAAGATCCATCTGACATCAGCAATGGCAATCTACTTACAAAAAAATCAGCCAGTGAAAACCCTATGTATCACAATGGTCCATTCCCATTGTGCATAGGGTTACCATGAATTGGGGGCTGACTTGAAGGTAGCTAACAACAATAACATAACTATAGCTTATAGTGTTGCCAGATATAGCTATAGTTAACTTGTTGAATACCGTAAGGCTAATAGAAGATTGTGTGATTCACTTCAGTGTGTAAGTTATTTTGATAAGATTTTTAACAAGACAATAGTATTGTATTTTATTATGTTCCTGAAGTTACTAATAGAATAAAAGAAAAATCACTTTATTCAGAATTCAACAAGTATTTACTGGGCACTCTGTTAGTTATTAAGGATTAGTGCAATAAAGGTGAGTAATTTCTGACCTGGTGTTGCTCACAATTTGGTGGAGAAAGATACATAGCCACAAAACTATACTATTGGTATGCGGGTACTGACACAACAGAGTCACTTGCAAACAAATAACAAAGTAATAAATTCTACCCTGTACAAGTTGTTTACTTCTATAGTAGAGATATATAGTAAATTCCAAAATGCAATCAAATTTCTATAGTAACTGAGACAAATTAGCATTTTCAATACTTCTTAAAGCAGATGAACCGTATTGGCAAACTTACAGATCTTAGGGGAATAAAAACAGGTGTTGCTCCAACCATTCTCACCATGGGCTCATAGCAATCAAAGAAAGGCATTATTATTATCACCTGAAGTCAAAACAAATAAGGACATTATATGTATATCAATTTATTCATTCATTTAACAAATATTCTGTACCTACTATATGCAAGGCACTAGTCTAGGTGTTGAGATGCAGTAGTACCAAAGGCAGGCCTTGCCTTCATGGAGCTAAAATTTTAGTTAACAAGATCTTGGAGCTAACCTTGTCCAAGGAGTCTTAAGTTGGAGTCCTTGGTCTCTTAAGAAGATTAGGGGATGATGTGATGAAAAACAGGTGAAATTGTCCACTACAGATTAGTAGGTAAGCACAAGTAAGCCCGTGTGTACCTTGCTTATTGGGTAATCCATCTCTGTGTAGACTGCCAGAAGAACAAACAAATCAGTCTCAGAAGAAATTCAATCAGAATCCTCCTTAGAAGTAAAGATGGCAAGATTTTAGCTCACTTACTTTGGATATGTCATCAAGGAAGACCAATTGCTAGAAAAGGATATCCTGTTTGGTAAAGTAGAGGGTCAGCAAAAAGGAGAGAATCCCTCAATGAGACGGATTGACACAGTAGCCACAACAATGGGCTCAAACATACCAATGATCATGAGGGTGGCGCAGGACCAGGCAACGTTTCATTCCGTTATGCATAAGGTTGCTATGAGTCAGAATTGACTCAACAGCAACTAACAACAACATATAGATGACAACTCACATACCGAAACCAAGAGCTATCTTGTCCCCGGATGATACATCTCAGATGCAAGAAGACGAGATTGGTATGGTGTGTGCAGGAGCCACCTTGGCTAGAAGCCCTATGCCTCACAGTAGCCAGTAGCTCTTATAACAATCTTACAGACACAGCCATCAGGGTCACCACAGATGCCGGTGATAGTAGCCACTGGGAAGCGAAGCATAGTGTCCCCATCAGGTACTTATAGTTCCCCCCAGTCCAGATATAATTGACAATTCAGGAGTAATTTTACTGGAAGCAATATTGTTTAATAATGTTGTTGACATATACTACCTTATCAAGGATTTCCAGGTGGCAGATTTCTTATAGCAGGAGAAAGAGTTTTATTAACTTTCACCCATAGTCCACCCCCATGATGAGACTCTCTTTTTACCAGTCTCAATAGATGGCAGCAGAGGACATTGGAGCCCTTTGGAATGTTGCTGGGCCATGGCTGAACTAAATCCCAAACATGGGAAATCTTTAATACTGAAGTAAGGCATATAAATACATTGTATGACCACTAGGATTTGTATTATTCAATAGGACATTAACATCTCCTCCATCTTAATTAACTGGAATTTCTCCCCTCCCGCCCAATTAGTAGTATCTATAACATCTTTATCCTGGGGATCACAGGCAAGTTTATACCAAATGATACTGTTTAGCAAAACAAACAAAATACCACGTCATTTTTCTTTTCTTTTAGCAACCAAATCAAAACCAAACCCATTAAATCGAATCAATTCCAACTCATAGTGACCCTATAGGACAGAACAAAACTGCCCTGTAGGGTTTCCAAGGAGCAGCTGGTGGATTCAAACTGCCAGCCTTTTCGTTAGCAGTTGTAGCACTTGACCACCACTCCACTAGGGCTCCCTTTTAGCAAGGGTGCTCCTCTTTCATATACCACCTATATATCTGGGGTTTTATCCAATCTAAAAGCATAATCATGTTCTAGTCACAAAACAGAAAAGTTATCCTTTTGGCTTGAAGTTTTACAATATGTAGTCACTGTCTTTACAAATCTCTTAAACAGCCTGTCACTTCCTAGTTTTTGAGACTTTCATCAGTCTCAATAGATGGCGGCAGAGGTCATTGGCGCCCTCTGGAATGTTGCTAGGCCGCAGCTGAAGACTATCCCATACATGGGAATTTTTTTTTTTTTTGCAGCCCCAGGTCTTATGAGGATTTTACCTTTGTAGCCCCGCCTGACCAACACAGAGCAGTTTGTCTGGTTTTGCTGTCCTGTGGGTGCTCTCTGGTTCTTCTCCTTGCAGCCAGCCTGGTTCAGTCAGCCTCGTGGCCCCATCCCCTTTTCACATGGCAGTATTAGTCACAGGTATGGGATCTGAGGGCTCCTGTGCACTTTTTAAATTCTCTACAGATGATTTGTTTCCTTAATGCCCCACCTAGGTATATACATCACTGTCACCAGAGAGTGAAGGTGGTGGGGTGAGAGCAGTGGCGTCACTAGGTGGGTTGCCGGGGCTGCGGACCGAACTAGGTAACACTGTCAGAGGAGGTGACACCAAAATCACAGTGTATAAATTTTTTGTGCAGTGTTTCAGCAGAAATTTATTATGTTTTTATAAAAACATCCCTGTAGTTAGTTAGAATAACAAAAACATTTCTTGTAAGCCCAGCTTACATATATCAGTATACCTACAAGGCTAAAACTCTATGCTAATTTACTTTTTTGAACCTTCTAATGCACTCCAGTTAGAGCTGTCATTATTACCTAATTACAGTGACACTTCAAATCACGGAGTTTCATCTGCAAGTGCTATAAGCACTCCGCGGTTGTGTTTGCTGCGGCCAGTGTTTTTATAGTTGCTGATTTTGTCAAATTTTCTGGTGTTTTAGCTACAATATTGTGGTAATTAGTATTTGTGAACCTGTATTAATAACTTTACTGAGGGTGAAGTAGCAGTTAAAGAAGAAGAAAAATAAAAAATGCTTCCACTTAGTTATTCATAATGTTATAACTAATAATGTTATAATTCAATGTAGAAAGATTTTATAAAACAATTTTATTGTTAGTATTCATATAATCTAAGAAATATTACATGTAAGCAATTTACAGCTATATTTATCACATATTATTCTATGATTAAAATTGATAATAAACATTACTAAGGATTCTGTATGGTCTGGTATGGTCTGGTATGAGGGAGGGGATGACACCATGAGTTACCATACTGGGTGACACCAACCTGAGTGATGCCACTGGGTGGGTGGGGGGGCAAGAGAACAGGTTTTAAAGTAAAATCAGTTGTTCTGTTTTAGATACGTGTGTTTGACATGTACCGATGTCATGCAGGCAATAGGGTATATAAATTTGGAGTTCAGTAAAGCGCTCAAAGTTCGAGATAGAAATTTGGTCATCGTCAGCACATAGGTGGTATCTGAAGCCGTGGGGCTGTATGAGATCACCTAGGAAAAAAGGACAGAGAAAAGAAGGCCAAGGACTGAACCTTAGGACACTTTACCAGGGAGAAGAGAAGGAGGAAATAAGAAAGGATTAACAGGATCAAAGTATGAGATAAAACGTTAAACTATTTTGTAGAATTATTTTGTAGAGATTCTGTATTATGAAAGTGTGACTGTACTTCCTTGTTTCCTTAAGCAGCTTACTGGCTGGCATAGTAGAACAAATTAGATATAACACAAAGTGATAGTGGTATGTTTTATAAAAGAGGTACAGATAAAGTGCTATGAGAGTTTGAAGAAAAGAATTAGCAGTATAGATTAAGGCAAATATTCAATCTTTAGAGCCAGCTCAAGCAACTCCTCTCTGTAGCTTTCCAGACCTACATTAGCAGAGTTGATCACTTCTTCCTCTTACCACCATCATAACTAATACATTCTCCACTACTGTCACACAACATTCCTCTTAATCCATGGACAACTGTATCTTCTCTAGTAGATAGAGAACTCCTTCAGTGTAGAAACTGTTTTTGTAAAATCTTCCTTCTCACGATGCCTAGCACACAAAAAATCCTCAATAATTTTTGAATAAATGAACAAGGTAAAAAAATATTAAAGCAAGGTTTTGGCATGATAGTGGGGAAGTAGGGGTAGAGATAACTGAACTAGGTGCCAAAGTTGTCCTTTCAATACAGTATCAAATGACAGAAGTCACTTAACCTTCTCATGTATCCTCACACTACTTAACACAATACCTCCACCATTGCTAGCCCCTTCTACCTACACTATTAAAAAAAAAAAAAAACCAAACCCGTTGCCACTGAGTTGATTCTGACCCTAGAGGACAGAGTAGAACTGCCCCATAATTTCCAAGGAGTGCCTGGTGGACTCGAACTGCCGACCTTTTGGTTAGCAGCTGTAGCTCTTAACCACTACGCCACCAAGGTTTCCACCTACCCTATTAGCCTATCTAAATAGGCTGTAAAAATAACGAATTGCATGCAACAAAATGGATGAGTCTCACAGACATAATGATAAATGAATGAAGTCAGACCCAAAAGTACATACTGTATGATTCTACTTATATCAGTTAAAGACCAGTCAAAACTAGCCTGTTGTTGTTAGATGCCATCGAGTTAGTTCCAACTCATAGGACATTGCCCAGTCCTGTGATATCCTCACTATCATTGCCATGTTTGAGCCCATTGTTGCAGCCACTGTGTCAGTCCATCTTACTGAGGGTCTTCCTCTTTTTCGCTGACCCTCTACTTTACCAAGCATGATGTCTTTCTCCAGGGACTTATCCCTCTTGATAACCCATCCAAAGTACATGATACAAAGTCTCGCCATCCTTGTTTCCAAGAACATTCTGGCTGTACTTCTGTCTTGGAAGGAAACTAGCCTATGGTGATAGAAGTCACAGGACTGGTTACTCAGGGGGAATACAGACTAAAAAGGGGTACATGGGAGCCTTCTGGGGTGGTGGAAATGCACTATATCTTCATCAGGGCTGTGGGCACATGGATATACCTATATGGAAATACGTATATATGTGAAATTTATCAAGCTGTACACTAAAATTATATATGTGTTATATTTCAGTACTAATTAAAAATTTAACAATAAAAAAGAGAGAAAAACAAGTTGTAAGAGCCTCAGAGGCAGGACAAATTATAATAATTTAATACAGGTATTATGATAATGTTAATATACTTACTTCATCTCCCTCATCAATTAATCCTTGAATGGCACTAAAAAGAGATCCATATGCTCCTACTGTCACAAGGATTTCTTTATTTGGATTGATTTTATTTGGATAAAACTTTTCATATAGGCATGACAGAGCTGTCACAAGTGAGGGATGACCCTGTTGGATGAAAAATAAGAAGAACAGTAAACTTTGGGTGTGATTATGTGATCTACTTCTTTGAGTTAATATGGCTCTAAAATGTGAGAATTTTAAAAATTTATTTCTGATATTTATAATTACCCAAAGAAAAAATTGTATTTTTTAAAAAAAATTTCCTACCTCAGACAAAGGTCATAAAGGTCATAAATGGTCATGAAGGGAGTCCCTATATCTTTGAAGACTGCTGTTATTGCTCTTCTATGTAGGTCAGATATTACAATGGGAACTGCCCTAACTGAATTAAGACACCTAACTACAATGGGAGTGATTGGATCCTGGGGTGGCAGGGGCCAAGCGGCGGCACTTAATTGCCAAAGACATGATGGGTGTGGTTACTGTAATGACATCAGAGTCAAAGCATTAATCAGAAAAGTCTGATTCGCGTGGACTTATGGCATTGGCTTCTTAGTCATGATGTCCTTAGGGGTGAAACAGACGGAAAACCTACTAAATATTTAGTTTGTACAAGCGGAAGAATTCTAGGTCAAATGAATGGCAGTCTAACTTGAATCGCCAAAATAGAGAGTTACGGCCCCTCCATCAGTTCCCAGAACTGAGCTAGTTTACAGACCCACAGACCCTTGAATGAAGGAGAGGTTGGGTACTGTTGAGGAAGGATCCCATTACACTACCAAAAATTTATAGTGTTTATCTTTCTCCCAGCCTTCCTCAATGGTATCTATGGCCTTTTACAAAAGTAACTGTTCATTAGGAAAAAGAAAATAATCAGATTTTTCAGGGATTACTGGACGCTAGCTCTGAACTGACACCAATTTCAGGAGACCTAAAACATCACTGTGGCCCACCAGTCAGAGTAGGGAGTATGGAAGTCAGGTTATTAATGGAGTCTTAGCTCAGGTCCTTCTCACCGTGGGTTTAGTGGGTCCCCAAACCCATCCTATGGTGATTTCCCCAGTTCCAGATTGCATAATTGGAATAGATATAGTCAGCAACTGGCAGAACCCCCACATTGGTTCCCAGACATGTGGAGAAAGGGCTATTATGGTAGGAAAGGCCAAGTAGAAGCCATTAGAAATGCCTCTGCCTAGGAAAAAAGTAAACCAAAAGCAATAGCATTCCTAGAGGGATTGCAGAAATCAGGGCCACCATCAAGAACTTGAAGGATGCAGGGGTGGTGATTCCCACCACATCCTCATTCAACTTGTCTATCTGGCCTGTGCAGAAAACAGATGGATCTTGGAGAATGACAGTGCATTATTGTAAACTTAACCATGTGGTGACCCCAGTTGAAGCTGCTATTCCAGACATGGTTTCATTGCTTGAGCAAATTAATACATCTCCTGGTATCTGGTATGCAGCTACTGATCTGGCCAATGCCTTTTTCTCCATGCCTATTTCTAAAGATCATCAGAAGCAGTCTGACTTCAGTTGACAAGGGCATCGACACACATTTACTATCCTACCTCAGAAGTATATCAACTCTCCAGCCCTATGTCATAATTTAGTTCACAGGACCTTGATTGCTTTTCCCTTCCATAAGACATCACACTGGTCCATTACATTGATGACATTAATCATCTGACTGGACCTAGTAAGGAAGAAGTATCAATGACTCTAGACTTGTTGGTAAGACATTTGTGTGCTAAACTCATTGCCATTTATTCCAACTCATAGTGACCCTATAGGACAGAGGAGAACTGCCCCATAGGGTTACCAAGGAGTGGCTGGTAGATTCGAACTGCCGACCTTTTGGTTAGCAGTCAAGTTCTTAACCACTATGCAACCAGGGCTCCATTTGCATGCTAAAAAAACCAAAACCAAAACCAAACCCTTTGCTGTCGAGTTGATTCTGACTCATAGCGACCCTACAGAAATTAACCTGACAGAAATTCAGGTGCCTTGCACCTTAGTGAAACTTCTAGGGGTCCAGTGGTGTGGGGTAAGTTGAGATATTCCTTCTAAAGTGAAGGAAAAGTTGTTGCATCTGGCCTTTTGTACAACTAAAAAGGAGGCACAATCCCTAGTGGGCCTCTTTGGATTTTGGAGGCAATATAGCCTTCATTTGGGCATGCTACTCCAGCCTATTTATCAAGTGACTTGAAAAGCTGCTTGTTTTGAGTGGGGCCCAGAACAAGAGGAGAAGGCTCTGCAACAGGTTGAGGCTGCAATGCAAGTTGCTCTGCCACTTGGGCCATATGATCTGGCTGGTTCAATGAAGTGGTAGTGGCAGATAGAGATGCTGTTTGGAGTCTTTGGCAAGCTCCTATTGGTAGATCACAGTGCAGACCCTTAAGATTTTATAGCAAAGCGCTGCCATCCTCTGCAGAGAACTACTCTCCTCTTCAGAAACAGCTGTTGGCTTGTTACTAGGCCTTAGTAGAGACTGAACACTTGACCATGGGCCACCAAATTACCATGCAGCCTGAGCTGCCCATCATGAACTGGGCATTGTCTGACTCAGAGTCATATTGTTGGGCTTGCACAGCAGCACTCCATCATTAAATGGAAGTGGTACATACAAGATCGGGCTAGAGCAGGACCTGAAGGCACAAGCAAGTTATACGAGGAAGTGGCCCAAATGCCTATGATTCCCACTCCTTTCACATTGCCTTCCCTCTCCCAGTCTGCACCTGTGGCCTTATGAAGAGTTTCTTATGATCAGCTGACTGAGAAAGAGAAAACTTGTGCTTCCTTTACAGATGGTTCTGTGTGATATGCAGGCACCACTCGAAAGTGGACAGTGGCAGTACAGCCCCTTTCTGGGACTTCCCTGAAGGATAGTGGTGAAAGGAAATCCTCCTAGTGGTCCGAATTTCGAGCAGTGCACCTGATTTTTCACTTTGCGTGGAAGAAGAAATGGCCAGATGTGCGATTTTATACTGATTCATAGGCTGTGGCCAATGGTTTTGCTGGATAGTCAGGAACTTGGAACATGTGATTGGAAAATTGGTGACAAGGAGGTATGGGGAAGAGGTATATGGATAGGCCTCTCTGAATGGGCCAAAGAAGTGAAGATATTTATGTATCATGTGAATGCCCACCAAAGGGTATCATCAGCAGAGGAAGATTTGAACAATCAACCGAATAGGATGACGTGGTCTGTGGATACCAGTCAGCCTCTTTCCCCAGCCACTCCTGTCATTGCCCAATGGGCTCATGAACAAAATGATCATGGTGGCAGGGATGGAGGTTATGCATGGGTACAGAACATGGACTTCCACTCACCAAGGCCGACTTGGCTCCAGCCACTAATGAGTACCCAATCTGCCAGCAGCAGAGACCAACACTGAGTCCCCAATATGGCACCATTCCTCGAGGTGATCAGCCAGCAATCTGGTGGCGGGCGATTACATTGGACCACTTCCATCATGGAAAGGGCATTGTTTTGTTCTTACTGGAATAGACACTCTGGATACTGATTTGACTTCCCTGCATGCAATGCTTCTGCCAAAACTACTGTCCATGGACTTACAGAATGCCTTATCCACTGTCATATCTGTTATTGATTGAATTATGTCCTGCCAAAATGTGCTTCAACTTGGCTAGGTCATTATTCCCAGTATTCTGCGGCTGTCCACCATTTTGTGATCTGATGTGATTATCTTATGTGTTATAAATCCTAACCTCTATGATATTAATGATGCAGAATTAGAGGCAGTTATGTTAATGAGGCAGGACTCAATCTACAGGATTAGGCTGTATCTTGAGTCAATCTCTTTTGAGATACAAAAGAGAGAATGGAGCAGAGAGGAGATGGACCTCATTACTACCAAGCAAGGAGAGCCAGGAGCAGAGCACATCATTTGGACGTGGGGTTCCTGCACTGAGAAGCTCCTAGACCAGGGGAAGATTGATGACAGGGAGCTTCCCTCAGAGCCGGCAGAGAGAGAAATCCTTCCCCTGGAACTGGTGTACTGAATTCAGACTTCTAGCCTCCTAAACTGTGAAAGAATAAATTTCTGTTTGTTAAAGCCATCCACTTGTATTTCTGTTACAGCAGCACTAGATAACTAGGACATTATCCCACACAGCATTGTATCGGATCAAGGGACTCACTTCACAGCAAATGAAGTGTGGTAATGGGCACATGGTCGTGGGAATTCAGTGGTCTTACCATGTTCTCCATCATCCTGAAGCAACTGGTTTAAAAGAAGGTGGAGTGGCCTTTTAAAGACACAATTACAGTGCCAGCTAGGTGGCAGTACCTTGCAGGGCTGGGGCAGTATTCTCCAGGAGGTTGTATATACATACATACAGTATATGGTACTATTTCTCCTATAACCACAATTTATGGGCCCAGGAATCAAGGGGTGGAAGTGGAGTGGTACCACTCACTATTACCCCTAGTGACCCCACTTGCAAAATTTTTGCTTCCTATGCTGTGCAAGTCTAGAGGTCTTAGTTCCAAAAGGAAGAATGCTCCCATCCAGGGACACAATATTGATTCCATTTAACTGGAACCTAACAATGCCACCCAGCCACTTTGGGCTCCTCATGCTTCTGGGTCAACAGGCTAAGAAGGGAGTTACCATATTGGCTGGTGTGATTGATCCTGATTACAAAGGGGGAAATTGGATTGATATTACATAATGGAGGTAAAGAAGAGTATATCTGGAATACAGGAGATCCCTTAGGGTGTCTCTTAGTACGACCATGCCCTGTGAGTAAAGTCAATGGAAGACTACAGCAACCTAATTCTGACATGACTACTAATTGCCCAGACCCTTCAGGAATGAAGGTTTGGGTCGACCCACCAGGCAAAGAACCATGACCAGCTGAAGTGCTTGCTGAGGGCAAAGGGAATACAGAATGGATGGTGGAAGAAGGTAGTTCTAAATACCAGCTGTGACCACGTGACCAGTTGCAGAAACAAGGACTGTGATTGTTATGAGTATTTCTTCCTTGTTTTGTCATACACGCATGTGTGTATATATATAGACACATATATATTCATGGCAGATATCTTTGTTTTCTTCCCTTCCTTATCACATTTATCCTATTACTTATTATAAAATACAAGTGTGTTTTCGGGTGTACACGTTAGTTTCATCATGTTAGGTGCAAGTATGACTTTATTTAGAGAATATGTATCGTTTAAGGAGATGTGTATAGGTGCCAAGTTGACAAGGGGTAGACTGTGATGATATTATGCATCAACGTTGCTAGGCTACTTTTCATTTTGTGATCTGCCGTGAGCAGCCAATCAGTTGAAAGTGGAGTTTCCCTGGGTGGGGCCTGCCTCCATTATATAAATGTATGTTCTGGCAAAACTCACTCTCTTTCGACCCTGCACTCTTCTCATTGCCTGACCTCCAGTTCTTGGGACTTAAGCTTGCAGAAGTCTCTGGCCTGCTGCCTGACCTGCACATTTTGGATTTGCCAATCCCCGCAACTCTGTGAGCCAGCAGAGGACTCTAACCTGCCATGTGATCTGCAGATTTTGGGTTCAGCAGCCCCTGCAATCACATGAGCCAGCAGAGGTCTTCAGCCTGTCACCTAACCCATGGATTTGGGACTTGCCAGCTCCCACAATTGCATAAGCCATTTCCTTTAAGCAATTTTCTTTCTATATATATTTATAAATGCTTCACTGGTTTTGCCCCTCTAGAGAACCCAGACTAAGACACCTACATAACCAAAAGTTCCCTTTGCGCCTTTGCAGCTAAACCCCTCTGTTCCAAACCATTGATTTTTCTGCTTATCTGTTTGTTACCATTTATTAGTTTATGTTTTACTATTTCATACAAATGGAACCACACAGTATATACATTTTTTGTTTCTGGCTTCTTTCAAAAGCATAATGATTTTGAAATTTATCCATGTTATGGTTTATCAGTAGTTTGTCCCTTTTTGATACTGAATAACGTTATGTTGAATAGCTACATGACATTGTGTTTATCTATTAACCTGTTGATGGACATCTGGTTTGTTCCCAGTTTTTGACTATTGTGAATAATGTCGGCAAGAACATCTGTGTACAAGTCTTTGTGTAGATACAGGTTTTCATTTCTCTTGGATAAATACGTACTAGTAGAGTGATGGATTATATAGTAGGTGCGTGATTAACTTTATAAGAAACTGTCAAACAGTTTTCCAGATTGTACCATTTTATATTCCCACTAATAGTGTATGAGAGTCCCAACTGCTCATACCCTTGCCAACACTTGGTATTATCAGTTTTAAAAATAATTTTGTCCATTTTAATGGGTGTGAAATGGTATCTCACTGGCTTTAATCTCTGAGGAATCAGGGTGCTGCAAAAATTTTGTTACTTATTGACCATTTGAATATTTTCTTTTGTAAAGTGTCCAAATCTTTTGCCAATTAAAATTCCTTTTCTTGTTGAATTAAAACAGTTCTTTATATAGTCTGGAAATAAGTTCATTGTCAGATATATATATTGTGAATATTTTCTCCCAGTCCGTGGCTTGTTTTTTCTCTGCTTTTCGCTATGCTTCCATCCCCAAAGCAAAGCCTTTCTATGAATTTTTATAAACTACTATAAAAGACAAAAATTAAAAGGCTTCCTCCTAAAACACTTCCTCTCAATTTTCCACACTATCACAAATGGAAAAGACAAATACTCAAACATATAACAATTGTATCTATATTTCAAAGGTACCTCTCAATCTAGAAAATGTCCAGATATCCTAGGTGTTTCATCACAGAAAAAGTTTGGGCTAGGGTAGAGAGGTAAAAAGTAATTAACTGGGAAAAGGAGGATATTCATTAAGAGTCCAGTGCTGTGGTTGCATAAGTATTAATGAGATAGAAAAGACTGTCTCAAGAGATATCCTCTCTTTCCTTATTGTCATAAGATCCCATCCTGGATCAACAGTAAAGTAAGGGCCAAAACAGGACTGTGGAGGGGCTGCAAGTAGGGGAAAACTCATCCTAGGAGATAAGGGTAAGGGTGGGAGTTTCTGTGGTTACCAGATTGGGATATTTGGTCCCAGGGAGACAATTACATATAAGTGATAGAAGTACTTACATATGTATATATATACAATATAAAGCACAAGCTTGTGTCCCACATGGTTCTAATTTACTTACAAAGCCCCGTGTATACTGGTTCATGCCATCAATTGCTGCAACCTTTGATAATTCTTCCTTTACATGTATAGGAGGGGATATATCTGGAAGACCTTGGCCAAGATTCACAACAGAGGGGTCTGCAGCCAACTTGGTAAATTCAACCCTGAGATTAAAATACACACACACACACACACACACACACACACACACTATTAATAATTACTATAATTACAAAGTTATCTTTTCCACAGTTCATTGTCAAAATTGAAAAACTAGTCCTAAGGTAGTCTTACAGATTAAAAAAAAAAAAAAAAATCAGTTCTCAACAAAAATTTCACCTATCCACAAAATGACTTTATCTAATAAAATAATGGTTGAACTGATGACTTCAACATTCCTTACAAACTTCAATTCCATTATATCCATGTTTTATCAGGTCTTTTTTGTCCTCAAAAATTCTGGCTGCTGCTGGGTTCTCTAATCAATCATTAGAGATTAGAACTAATGAAAAAAATATCATGGATTAGGATGTAAGCTCCATGAGGGCATCACCAAATTTGACTTTTTCTCTGCTATATTTCTAGGGCCTAGCACAAGGCCTGGCACATTTTCTAAACAATAAATTGGTGTATGGATCACTATCTTTCTTCCATTTCATAGCCATAGAACGTGGTCCTTATTAGTCATCTTGCAAATGTACATCTATAATTGCAAAGAAGATCACAGTCACTGCTGAAAAACAGTGCAGGCCTTCCTGAAAGCAAGACCAGTATGGGTGAGGTGGTGACCTGTGAACCTTCTGAAACTGGGTACAAAACTGTGTCTATGTGCTGATGTACAGTTTTCTGGAGAAAGGGTTCATAGCATTGAACAAATATTGAATGAAATTTATGACCCCAAACAATTAATTTAAAAGGAAGAACAACTCATCATAAAGTCAACAGAACAGGTCTAGAACTGCAGTAACAAAAACTCATACTCCCATTCACAAACTAAAATTTCTAGAAACACTAAACTTAAAGGCAGTAAAATAAAATGCTTATATTAAATTTGTTTTTAATTCATTGTTTTGCTCATTTTAGCTCCAGTGTAGATGACAATATAGTAATAATAATGATAGTGTAGCTAACATTTACTTAGTCTTAGCATATGCTAGGCGCAACGGCAAACACTTTACAGGAATTATTTTATTTAAGCCCCACAACAGCCCTACTTTACAACGAGAAGATTGAAGCTTATATTAATTGCTTAAGCAGGGTTTGGCAAACATTTTCAATAGGCTTTTTGGGAATATGATCTCTGTTGCAACCACCCCACTCAGCCATTGTAGTGAAAAAGCAGCCACTGGATTATGTAAATGAGTGAGTGTGGCTGTGTAAGACTTATTTACTTAAACAGGTGTCTGGACTACAGTTACACAGTAAGTTATCTTAGTTAACATGCAACCAAACATGCTAAACTTGGTATAAAGGCCAGTATAAATACTCCATTTTTAATAAAGCAATACATTATAGCCTAATAAAAGGTGTTCCAGACAGAAGTCACCCTTCTTCAATAATATTTTCTTTTCACTTATTTTACATTTAATGGATGAATTATAATTGTGGTTTTATTCACTGACTGTGGATAAGGTGAAAAATTTCCAGCTGAGGATATAAAAATATATAGGAGAAAAACCTTACAAAATTGTTTTTTTTACTCTAAGATACTCACCACATATTACTATCAAGACCTTCAATTCGTCTTGCATTTTTTAATTTCAAAGACATTTTCTGGAAGATATAAATATTGAAAGGGTTTTTTAGTTGCTTTTATTTAAAAAAAGAAAATGCCAAAAGCCATGAGTAGTCCTTCCTTTTCCTTATTTTACCAGGTAAATGAGCTTTACTAGGTATTACCAAAAAATGAATAAATAAATAAGCTTTACTAGGTACTACCATCACCATTCATTTTTTAGTCTGTCATACTATGGTGGCTTGCGTGTTGGTGTGATGCTTGAAGCTATGCCACTGGTATGTCATACACCATCAGGGTCATGGCGGACAGGTTTCAGCAAAGCTTTCAGACTAAGACAGACTAGGAAGAAGGATCGGGCGATCTACTTACAAAAAAACTGGCCAGTGAAAACGTCATGAATAGCAGTGGAACATTGTCTAATACAGTGATGGAAGTTGGGCCCCTCAGGTTGGAAGTCACTCAAAATATGACTGGGGAAGAGCTGCTTCCTCAAAGTAGAGTCGATCTTAATGACGTGGGTGCAGTAAAGCTTTCAAGACCTTCATTTGCTGATATGGCACAACTAAAAATGAGACGAAATAGCTGCAAACATCTGTTAATAATGGGAACACTGAATGTATGACGTATGAATCTTGGGAAATTGAAAGTTGTCAAAAATGAAATGGTATGCTTGAAGATCGATATCCTAGGCATTAGTGAGCTGAAATGGACTGGTATTGGCCATTTTGAATCAGACAATCATATAGTCTACTATGCTGGGAAAGACAAATTGAAGAGGAATGGTGTCACATTCATCATCAAAAAGAACACTTCAAGAGCTATCCTGAAGTACAACGCTGTCAGTGATAGGATAATATCCAGATGCCTACGAGGAAGACCAGTTAATACGAATATTTTTTGGATTTATGCAGCAACCATTAATACCAAACATGAAGAAAGTGAAGATTTTTAGCAACTTCTGCAGTATGAAATTGATCAAACATGCTATCAAGATGCATTGATAATTACTGGTGATTGGAAGGTGAAATTGGAAACAAAAAAGGATCAGTAGTTCGGAAATACGGCCTTAGTGATAGAAACAATGCTGGAGATCACATGATAGAATTCTGCAAGACCAGCAATCTATTCATTGCAAATACCTTTTTTCAACAACATAAATGGTGACTATGTATGTGGATCTTGCTATATGGAATATACAGGAATCAAATCGATTACATCTGTGGAAAGACATGATGGAGAAGCTCGATATTATCTGTCAGAACAAGACCAGGGGCCGACTGCAGACCAGACCAGATCATCAATTGCTCATTTGCAAGTTCAAGCTGAAGTTGAAGAAAGTCAAAACAAGTCCACAAGAGCCAAAGTACAACCTTGAGTATATCCCACCTGAATTTAGAGACCATAGCATGAATAGATTTGACTCACTGAACACTAATGAGTGAAGACCAGACAAGTTATACGATGACATCAAGGACATCATACAGGAAGAAAGCAAAAGGTCATTAAAAAGACAGGAAAGAAAGACAAGACCCAATGGATGTCAGAAGAGACTCTGAAACTTGTTCATGAACACAGAATAGCTAAAGCGAATGAAAGAAATGATAAAGTAAAAGAGCTGAACAGAAGATTTTGAAGTGTGGCTCAAGAAGACAAAGTATTATAAAGAAATGTGCAAAGATCTGGAGTTAGAAAACCAAAAGGGAAGAACATGCTTGGCATTTCTCAAACTGAAAGAACTGAAGAAAAAATTCAAGCCTCGAGTTGCAATATGGAAGGATTCTGGGGCAAAATAGTGAACAACACAAGAAACATCAAAAGAACATGGAAGACACAGAGTCACTGCACCAAAAAGAACTGGTTGACATTCAATCATTTCAGAAAGCAGCATATGATCAAGAACCAGTGGTATTTGCTGGAAGCAGTCCAAGCTGTACTGAAGGCATTGGCAAAAAACAAGATTCCAGGAAGCGACAGGATATCAATCAAGATGTTTCAACAAATGGATGCAATGTTAGAAGTGCTCACTAGTCTATGCCAAGAAATTTGGAAGACAGCTACCTGGCCAACCAACTGGAAGAGATCCATATTGGTTCCCATTCCAAATAAAGGTCATCCAACAGAATGCGGAAATTATCACACAGTATCATTAATATCACATGCAAGCAAAATTTTGCTGCAGATAATACAAAATTCAAAAACACTGCAGAAGTACATCAACAGGGAACTGCCAGAAATCCAAGCCAGTTTCAGAAGAGGATGTGGAATGAGGGATATCATTGCTGATGTCAGATGATCTTGGCTGAAAGCAGAGAATACCAGAAAGGTCTTTACCTGTGTTTTATTGACTATGCAAAGGCATTTGACTGCATGGATCATAACAAATTGTGGATAACATTGTGAAGAATGGGAATTCCAGAACACTTAATTGTGCTCATGAGGACCCTGTACATGATTAAGAGGCAGTCATTTGAACAGAACAAGGGGATACTACATGGTTTAAAATCAGGAAAGATGTGTGTCAGGGTTGTATCCTTTCACCGTACTTATTCAATCTGTATGCTGAGCAAATAATCTGAGTCACTGGACTATATAAAGAAGAACGTGGCTTCTAGATTGGAGGAAGACTCATTAACAACCTGCAATATGCAGATGACATAACATTGCTTGCTGAAAGTGAACTTGAAGCACTTACCGATGAAGATCCAAGACTCCAACATTTAGTATGGATTACACAGCAACATAAAGAAAACAAAAATCCTACAACTGAAGCAATAAGCAACATCATGATAAACAGAAAAAATATTGAAGTTGTCAAGGATTTCATTTTACTCAGATCCACAATCAATGCCCATGGAAGCAGCAGTCAGGAAATCAAATAATGTATTTTACTGGGCAAATCTGCTGCAAAAGACCTCTTTAAAGTCATGAAAAGCAAAGATGTCACTTTGAGGACTAGGTGCATCTGACCCAAGCTATGGCATTTTCAACTGCCTCATATGCATGCGAAAACTGGGCAATGAACAAGGAAGAAGGAAGAACTGATGCATTTGAATTAAAGTATCGCTGAAGAATCCTGAATATACAATGAGCTGCCAGAAGAACGAACAAATGAAGAAGTATGGCCAGAAAGCTCCTTAAAAGTGAGGATGGCCAGACTTCGTCTCGTTTACTTTGGAGATGTTATCAGGAGGGACCAGTCCCTAGAGAAGGACATCATGCTTGGTAAAATTGAGGGTCAGCGAAAAGAGGAAGACCCTCAATGAGATAGATCGACACAGTGGCTGCAACAATGAGCTCAAACATAGCAACAATTTTAAGGATAGCGCAGGACTGGGATGTGTTTCGTTCTATTGTACATAGGGTCACTGTGAGCTGGAACCAACTTGAGGGCACCTAACAACAAACAATAGGTAATACCATAATATATTCTAAACCCTAATAACAAATTCTAAAGAAGAACCTATCTTCCACCTGCTGTCTTGGGAATACTTTTTATTGTGAAACTTAGAGGTTCATCCTCTCACCTAAGGACAAAAATAACACCCTAAAAAAAAAAATCATTCTAGCCTAAAAAAAAAAATCAGCATAAAGACTGAAATGTACTCAAAAGAACAATAATGATAATAGAAAAGTCAATTTTAAAAAACAATTTTAAATTTTAAATTTTAAAATTTTAAAAATTTAAATTTTTAAAAGTAAATTTAAAAAATCATGGCCTGTAGATCATTTTAGATAAGATGGACTAATAGTTTCCTAAGTAAGTTCCTTGTGTGGCATACAGGAAGCATTCAACAGATGGTTTAAAAACTACTCAATAAGAGGTTCCAAATACAGTAAAAGTATATACCAGGCATTGTTCTAATTGCTTTCCATAAATGACTCATTTAATATTCACAACAGCCCTATGGAATAGGTTCTATGATTCGCCATATTTTACTCATGAGGAAACTGAGGCACAGAAAGGTTAAGATCACACAACTTTCACGTTTGCTCAAGTATAGAAAGCTGGTAACATTAAACCCAAACAGGTTCAACCACGTTTTGAATTGAGACAGTCTACTCCAGCACCCATACTAAAAACTAACACCTTATGTTGTCTTTTACGTAATGAGACTCTTAAAAAATATTACTGGAATGTGGCCTACTAAAAATATAATAGAAATTTAGATTGGGTCTACTTACACCAAGTAAACTAGGGCAGTGGTTAAAAAAATATATATATATCATGCCAAAATTATTGCTACGGCGTATCTAGGGATCATAGCATACAATATAAATTTTTTTAAATTATTTAAATTCTAAAATTAAGTTTATACTTCCTCTCAAAAGAAATGAATTAGCTTTGAGTTCATTGTTAAGAAGCTGGTAGAAATTAAAAAAAATGATTGGCAGCATTTTTGCAAGGAACTTTCTAATAGAATATTAAAGTAATTTTAATTCAATCTAGGAGGAAGATAAGGATAATGGGTTATTAAGTAGACCATTGTTCTCACTCTATTCCCAATAACAGGACCGAGAAAAATATCTTTTTATTCTGTTATTTTTAAACTTTGAAACTCCAGTGAAGTAAATCGCACTCAATTTCTGTAGAGATGAAAGTGCCTTCCAGAATAGCATGATGATTAAGTCCCCACCTGAACATGATGTTATTCCAAACACTATAATTATAAACCCAAAAAGCCCCAGCATGATAGATAGAAAAAGATATTTTAACAAATGTCCTTTCCTATCTCTAAAAAAAAAAAAAAAAAAAAAAACTCAGTACGTGACTACAAATGCAAGTCCAGACTCATATATACAAAAGTGAATATGGTCTGTAGGACGTGATTTAGACACAAACTTCAATTTTACCTAAAATATTTAGATAATTGATGTCAAACTGCATTTTCAGATTTAATTTCCTTTCTAATTTGTGTTAGATGTGCCTCTTCTCTTACTTCTTTCTCCACTCCCCCTCCCTCCCAATTCTATGTCTCAACCATTTCTCACTTTTCAAATATTCTATGTTCTCTCTTATCTTTATAGCTTCATATGT